GGCATCGAAGGAGGAGCTGAACAAGATCACAAAAAATAATTTTTTGAAGTGCTTCGAGGATTGGAAAAAACGTTGGCACAAGTGTATAATATCTGATGGGGATTACTTTGAAGGGGACAAAATAGATATTCATGAATAAATAAATAATTTTTGAAAAAACACAAAATTCGCGATACTTTTTGAACAGACCTCGTATGTGCAACATGAATTCATATTGCACATATATGTGTATTCATGTGACACGTTTTGACACATTATGTAACCTAAAATGGCATCGGATCACAAAAAATGCTACTACGATCGTATACAGGGTTGGCCATATTCGACGGAAAGATGTGGCAACACTGTAACTTTTGACAGAGATGTTAGATCGAGTAATGACGTAGCGCGTTTGAAGCGTCAGTCGAAGGAAATTTGTGCCATGGAACAGTACACGCCACGCGAACGCTCTCAGATTGTTGAAATTTACATTCAACAAAACAAGTCAATTGTTAAAACTCAACGTGCATGGAGAAAAATAAATAAAGTGAAAAGTGCGCCTTCCGCGAACACATTGTATCGTTTGTATGAAAGATTTTCAACTGGTGAGGCACTCACTAATCCCAAGCGTCCAAATAAAGTGCGACCAAGGCGATCGGATGATAATATCGCACTCGTACAGGCCAGTGTTCAGAGGTATCCAACAACATCTCAAACACGTCGATCTGAGCAGTTGGGCATAAAACGAACCACTTTACGTCGCATATTGCATCATGATTTGCATTTGTTCCCATACAAAGTTCAAGTGACGCAAAAACTGTTACCTGTCGATAAGCCACGTCGATTGGAATGGGCCCAACGTGTAATCGAAATGGCTGAAACTGACGAAAATTTTTGGCAAAAAATCATCATGAGCGATGAAGCTCATTTCACGTTAACCGGAACCGTAAACAAACAAAATTTTCGGTTCTATGGTACTGAAAATCCTCAAATCATTCACGAGGTACCTCTTTATGCCTAGAAAGTGACTGTTTGGTGCGGGATTTGTGCTGATATGATCATTGGCCCGTTCTTTTTCGAAGATGAAGCTGGCGAAACGGTTATCGTCAATCAGGAGCGTTATCGTGATATGATAAGTGATTTTTTGATGCCAATTGTTCATGATAATGGTATGGAGCACTTCTGGTTTCAACAAGATGGCGCTCCACCACACACAGCTCGAGCCACTATCAATTTTTTGAAACAATTGTTCCCTGGACGTTTGATGTCAAAAAATGGTGATTTTGAATGGCCACCGCGTTCACCAGATTTAACGGCTCCAGACTTCTTTCTGTGGGGCTATTTGAAATCAAAGGTTTATGTCAACAAGCCAAGGACCCTAGACGAACTTAAGACCAACATCCGACAGGAAATAGCCGCCATATCGGCCGAAACATTGTTCAAAACGATGGAAAACGCTGCAAAACGGGCACTACTCGCCATGCAGGCTCAAGGCGATCATTTAAGAGATATCATATTCAACAAATAATGTACACAAATCTCCTTGAACCATATTATTATAAATGGCTTTTACAATGAAAAGCAAAAAATGTGTTTTTTTTCCCATGATTAAAACAAAAAAACATCTTTCCGTCGAATATGGCCAACCCTGTATACTGTCAATAAAATCTGTATTTTACGTCACATATAATATATTACAGATTGTTACTACTGACAGTGACTTAGGTCGCAATCATATTTCAAATTGTGTTCTGTCTAAATGCTTACACACAACATGAGAGCAAATCGAGCAACTGGAAACGGCACGCGACTGGAAACAGCTGAGAAGGTGAGTGCTCATAATACTCGCAACACTTGAGAGCCTAAGTCTCCAGAGAGTGTAAGCGGATGGTACAAAATTTATTTTATCAACCTCGATCAAGTTCGGCCGTCACTCCAACATCTCCTTAAGTAAATAACAAAATTAGTACCACTTAGGTTACTTTTTAGTTTGATAGAATTTAATTATTTATTTGGTTATTTAAGACTATAGCGTTGGGTTTTAATTTTTAATTTATTACAATAGTTTTTTTCTGAGAAGTAATAATTTTTACAGAGAATTAAAACTGCCATAACTTGGGTTAGAATAAGAAGAATTTCAATTATAATAACTCGAATAGTCTTTTGAAATAAAAGGATATACAAGATACTAGCAACTTATTTCCTGGGAATGGAAGTGACTCGTTACTTGTAAATTTATACAGTTAGAAATTACTTTTTTTGGTAACGCTCTGGTAACTGCGTTACTATCCTTGATTGCAAAATTTCTATGCCAAAATATGCCAAAAAGTACGCATTTCTAATTCTACGACTGTGGCGTAGAATCACGTTAAACATAAAAATAACTACGCCAAGTTACGCGAAAGATGTAAAATAGCATTCTTGAATTTAGTTAGGCACACGATGTACGCCAAAGTACGTGCAATTAATAATACAGGCCCACAAAAAAAGTACCCTGTGTTGGAGTAGAAACCCAGCTATTTTTATATATTTGGAATCGCTGAATATGAATCTGACATTAAAATAGAACCATCCAGGGTAAATTTTTAATCTAGAGAGAAAGAAATGACCCATTTTTTCGCTCTAGATTAGCAATTTACCCTGGATGGTTCTATTTTGTTGTCAGATTCGTACTCAGCGGCTCAAAATACATAAGAATACCTAGGTCTTCACCCCAACATAGGGTACTTTTTTCTTGTGCGGCTGTGTAATCATTACTTCTTGAACGCATTTCTGTGCCAAATTACGCCAAACTAATTTTTATTTTTTTGTAGTGTTTCAAGAAAGTATGCCATTCTACGTTTTTTTTTATGTGGTATTACACTCTACAGTTGGGCACAGAAATAACTATACGTGTTTTTACATGAAAAATGTAAAATGGCGTATTTGGGCCTTAGTTAGGCATAGAAAGTACACCAAAGTACGCGCAACTAATAATCATTACTTCCTGAACTACGTGTTTCTATACCGAACTACGCCAAGCTAATTATTATTTCTTCGTAGTTCTACGAACTCCTCTAAACTGATTTCCATTTTTTCGTAAGTATTTGGTAAAAGTATGCCATTCTACGTCTTTCTACGCAGACTCACGCTCTACAATGGAATAATTGGGCACAGAAATAACTATGCCAAGCCTATCTTGGCGCTACGCGGTTGCACAAAAAAAATCGTTTCCCGAGGTACATATTTCTATGCCAAATTATGCCAAAGTACAATATTTATCTTTTAATTTTTCCGTTTGTAACTAAGTAAACCATTCTATGTCATTTTAATCGGAATTACTTTTACTCATTCGCGTGAGCATTATGCATCCCCGCCGACAGAGGGCCATGACGGAAATTCGTAAATTCGTAAGTAAGAACCACTTGGGAAAGTATATAAAAAGCACAGCATTTCGCATCTGAAGTGAGCCCTTATAGTTGGATTTTAATATTAAAGTATCTATGCAATGATGGAATTCTAATTCCATCATGACAGCAACGTGACAGCATCTTGAATTCATGCAAAATGAGTTCAAGATACCACCATGTTACTTTAAACAGTACAGTGTAAGTGTACCCGAAACTATGTTTAGGATAAAAAGGCGTGAATTTATGGCATAGAAGTAGAATTCTACGTCAAACTACTTCCATAGTTTATTCGCGTATTTAGGCGTAGTTTTTAGTGTAGTTAAGTGTACTTTCGGGCATAATTAGGCAAATTTTCTGACGTAGGTTGCCGTAGTTTGTCATTGTTTGGCGTTGTTTGGCGTACAAAAGTATGAATTACTTTGGCATAGAAGTAGAATTTTACCAAACTACTTCCGTATTCCAAACCGCGTATTTAGGAATAGTTTTTGACGTATTTAGGAATAGTTTTTAGTAGAGAGGGGAGAGGGGAGGGGATTATATATAATACAATAAATTACTTTATACAAAAGCTTTATTTTTAACATTTTTTCTTAAAAATATAATAATTTCCTAATTCTGAAAACTGTAGAATATGTGGCAAATTGAAATATTTATCTGATATTTATATTATAGAAGTATATATAGTATAGGAGGATATATCATTTTAATGGACGCAAAATATCTCTTGAACAGTGAATTTTAGAGAAAAATATTTCAGACAAAAGTTATACGATTTGGAACATAAGATGGTGCTATTGGTTTGATCTTGGAAAGTTGTTTGAAGATCACGTAAAGGTCATCATCAATTTCTTAAATGGAATCCCATATATTTCGTTACATATTCTTGTAAGTTATCTTGACAGCTCTCCAAAACATTATAATTAAGTTTATTTTCATTAAGTACTTTTCGAGTTATAAGGTTATAGCATCGTTGGCATTAAGCATTATCCAAGATATTCGAAACTTTTTGAATATTGTTCAGGATCATGACTTCCATTCTTGTATAACATTTATCAAGATCAAGGCAATTGGAGGTTGTATCTCTTATTTTTATTTTTACGTAGAAATGTAATTTTTAGTGTAAAAATAAAAATAAGAGAAACACTTTTTAATGATTTTAACTATGATCTTGACTATTATCCAGATCTTGATCCTGAACAACATTCAAGAGATTTTAGCCATCGATCGGATACTTTGGGTAATGCCGGCGACTGTAGCTTGCAAGCCTTATAACTCGAAAAGTATTTCATGAAAATAAACTTTAAATGAAACTTAATTATAGTATTTTAGAAAACTCTCGAGGTAAGCTATAAGAATATGCAATGAAATATATGGGATTCTATTTAAGAAATTGATGATAATCTTTACGTGACTTTCAAACCACTTTCCAAGGTTAACCCAGTAGCATCATCTTATGTCTCTCTTCAAACCATATAACTTCTGAAACATTTTTTTTTAATGCACTGTACAAGATAAATTTTAATGCGTCAATTAAAATAATACACCCTGTATGTACAATATGTATATACGAGTATATCATAGGAGTATAAAATAATTTCTGAAATACTTCGCTGTCAAGTGCCACAGCGTTCCTACAACCTCATCACATCATTTTACACTTTTAGGCGATATGTTAAACGTATATGTATTTCAATTTGCCACATACTTTACAGGTTTCGGAATTACAAAATTACGTTTTTAAGATTAATAAATTAAAACTAATGTCATTGTTGTATATTGCTTTATCAACATTTAAACAAAAAATATTGTAAAATACGTTTTTTCAATTAGGTTTTTAAATTGATATTAATTAATACTTATTTTAAACTGATTTTAAGAAAATAACAAAAAAATAACAAATAATTATTTTGTAAGTAACGGTAACAATAACGAGTTGCTTTTAAAAATCAGTAACAATAACTTGTTATTTTTTTGACTCAGTAACAAGTATCTGTAATTTATTACTTTAACAAAATAACTTCCCATTCCCTACTTACTCATAGAAAAAATTTTATTTACGTGTTACCGTAGCTACGTGTACAAGTCAGTACATCCCTGGTAGAAATTTGTGCAGTTTCACTTAGCACCCAATCAGTTACTATCTAGTACTACTGATTTCTCTTTATAATACAAAAATACTGCGTAGCAACTGGGTAAAATCAGTTAAAGTAGTTTTACTAGGTAATATTTGGATCAAAATTCTTTACAATAGATTTTGTACCAATACTAAAAGAGTAATTGTTCATTTTTTCGACCAGGTAATAGTTATGCAGTGCTAATGTGTAACATACATATTGCGATACGTGTACGTTTCGTATAGAAAATACTTGTTTTTATATGTAAAATTAAATATGTGTGAAAGTCATGAACACATACAAAAATATAGAGCAAAGAAAAAACTTGAAGAAATTGGACAGTTAATTGTATGTATAATACTATCACAAATATTTCAAATGAGGTTAGAAGCAGTAAATGTCATCAAAGATTAAAAGTAATAATGAATAAGCAACAGTTACACAGAAATAAAATATATGTAAATAGTAAAGAATTTTATATACTTTATTTATTTTACTTACGTTAATATAATACTAATTTTATTGAGTAGAATAATTCACAGATTATGTGGATCACATAAATAAAGTTACCTTTAATTGATTATTACAGAGCTTAATAAAGACGATTGTAATGAAATAGAGGAGTTACGGAAATGTTAGTATCATCTAGAATACTCATCTGCATAGTTAGTATTATCTAGAATACTTATCTGCACAGTAATAAATTATTACAAATATTAAGGCATAGATTTACTGCCAACACTTCCAAAATCTACAAAAACATTTTTGCATATCACATCTGCAATATATGAGGTAGAAAACATGGAAGACTCAGATAATTTCATGGATAAATTTACATATATAGGCCTTAAACAAGGATTACAATATTGTATAAATGTGATGTTGCATCAAAATCGTGAAAAGCTATTATTCAACATAGATGAAACTATACAAGAGCAGTAATAGAACTCTGTGGCTAATTTTATGTAAAGTTTATTTCAAATTTGATATCTACAAGCCTTTTACAATTGCTTTATATTCAGGCACAAATAAATCAAAAAAGCT